GACCCCAGCATCTGCTACCTGAGATCGCTGCCTTATTCTACCTAATGGCACAGTCGGCCCTGATAATCCCACGGTTTATGTTGCAAGGTTCTAAGGTTACGCTGCCTCTCCAGAAAGCCACTGGAGATTGGCAAGTTCTAGAACTGATCAGCTCAGGCTGAAGCACCATATGAGACAGACCCAACTCCTGTTAGGTTTGGGGAAAAAAAGCAAGGTTGGGCAGCTGGAGATTTTAACCTCTCCCCGCAAACACTGCTGATGGCCTGGTGGTCTGTCCCAACAGTAGTTTCCCTCAGCTGGGCTCTTATTATTCCAGAGATAATTGATGATGAAAATAATACTTTGAGCCTTTAGCAAGCCCTTTTACCTCTCATATGGAAAGAGAGACTCTTTATTTTTTAGGCCAACTGAGATCTGAACACACAACTCTGCTGCCATTCAATATAAGAAATGCACATCTCTCGGCTGCTGAGAGAATGGATTCCCAGCCAGCACTCAGGGAACAGGCACTGTAATACATCTAAGAGACTCCTTACTGAGCTTTATTAGGAAAGAAGAGTGCTTTGCTATACCCTTCCAGCTAATCTAGCTATGCAGCAACAGAACTGTGTGGATTATCTGTAGTCCAGTAGGCTTTTACCAGCTTCCATATGACACTGGCTGGGAGAACTTAGAGCTAATAGAACACTGCCACCTCTTGCTTCCTAAAATCGGTGTCAGGGCAAATGGGAAAACAGTCTGATCTATCTGTTGACCAAGGCAACGGAGCTACACAAGGCTCCATGTTCTCCCTCCAACAAACCAAAGGGCATTCAGCTGCACCTGCTTGTCCCCCCGGCAGACATAAAGAGAACACTGTCGCCACCTGTTGGCCAAGAGCTGTCAATTGGTACAGGAACACTAACAAGGAAAGGTCAGCTTCCAGCAGATAAAGACACTTACAGCTGATCAGATTGCTCCACCTGTGACAAGCTCTTCTCTATCCCTACCCTTTTCCCTCAAGCCCTGTACTCTTGAGTGCCTTGACCGTACAGTTTATAAGCCTCTTTTTTCCTGACAGGAACGGTTGTGGGAGACAAAAATTGTCTGTAAAGCTGGACATGTAAACAAAGAGATCTTGTGTGTTCTTAGCTCCAGAGCAGGGTGGGCTAGAAATTAGTTACAGATGTGCTTTTCAATTTTCCCTGACCTTTTTCCCTAGCTGTATCCTTAGTCTGGAAAAAAAATTTCATGTTGCTGATCAACTTTAAGTTAACCCAGAGCACAGAGTGCTGTCCTCTGAAGATGCCGGCCACAGAGACTGGCGAAACGTTAGGAAGAACAACCTTCAGAACACGGCCAAAGAGCCCCAAAAACCCACAACAACCTTTAAGTTAACCCCACTCCCATGCCTCTGGCTAGACGGCAGTGAGGGCTGAACACTGTTGGCTCTTCCCCTCATCCCTTTTGCACCCCCAGTCCACCCTTGGTTCTATACCTGTTGTCAGATTTTAGGCTGGATGCTCCTTGGGGCACTGCCTTGTATTGTAAAGTGCCATCTGTATTAGGAGGACTCGTAACCAATGATAAAAAGTGATGGTAAATATTTAAGCGGAACAGCCTTATCTCAAGTCTTGCTACTCTTTCAGTTCGTTCCTGGTTGTCTAATACTCTGAGTAGTGGCAGCATTCCAAAACCTTGGACAAGCACCACGGCCGGGCTGCTGGGAGATGCCAGAGGTTAAACCTGGGACTTCCAAAACAGAGATCCAAGTTGGTCTTTGCAACATTCCTGCCAGTTAACAAGTACTGCTTGGGATCCTGAGGCCACCTCTTGAGGCAGCTATCCTTTTTGGCAGTGCTGACTAGTGGGTTGCAACTACAGCCAAACATCCATTCTGTCCCCCTTCTCAGTACACAAGGATGTCAGGATTTAATCCTCCCCACTCTGCTTGCTGGAATTGGAAGATTGAAGCCTCTTCTATCCACCTTATTTTAACTGAGATCACAGTGATGGAGAAGCTGGGATCCCATTAGGACTGAGATCTCAAAAGGGATGAAAGCCTCTCTTGCTCCCATCACACCAATCTCCTGATGACTGTTTCCTCAGAACTTCCATGTCAAGATTGCTAAGGATGGGGGAAGATTCAAGCCCCTCCCACCTACTCTTCCAGCAACCCCAGCTAAGAGCAGCTCCCCAACAAGGAGCACTAGCCCTTTCCCTGCTCTGCAGAGGGGAAAAGTGTTTGTGTGGGGGAAGCTGCACTGAGAAGTGACCAAGAGTTGTGTGTCTACCGTGGGCTGGCCACCCTTGATTCACTTCTTTGGAGTTACAAATTTTATAATGCCTTTGAACCAATGCAATGCATGCAACTCACTTCAGTCGTATTATGCCACGCATTGACAAAAAGTTTTGAAAGTCTGTTCGGAATACAACTTCCAGAATCCCCAGCTAGTATGCCCAGTGGCCATGCTGGTGGGGGATTCTTGGAACAGGAGTCCAAGTACCCACCTGGCTTACATTCGTTGATTTATGGCAGGAAAGATACCCTTTACTGAGGTATACGCTTAGTGATGAATAGGAGGAGGATTTCTATGACACGTCATATTTGTTTTTGCAGCCTACACAGAGGAAGTGTGAAATGTCATAGAAATCCTCCCCCTACTGATGAGGCATCCGTTGTAGATGACCAGACAATAATGCCATAGGACAATCACAAATGTTGTCAAGTTTCAATTAGTTCTTGTCAGACTTCTTATGACATTTAATTATGTGCCATCAAGTCCATTCTGACTCACGGTAATCCTCCCAGGTTATTTAAGGTGCAAACTGCTCAGAAGTGGTTTGCCAGTTCCTCCTTGCAGTGGCAATGTGGGACTTGCCCAAGACTGAATAAGTGGCAGGGCTTGTAAGCCTATCAACCACACAAACTCTGGGTGATCTAAGCTGGCTACTCACTGGGGAAGTACACAGAAGAGTCACATTCCTAGTTTCACAAGCAAGTGCTTTAAGCTAGTGAGCTATAGCAACTCCATCTTATCAATCTAATTTTCTTAGAAGATAGCAGCAACTCTAAATGGCATCCAAACATAAAAAGTACCCAGTGAGATTACATTGATAATTCTCAGTGAGGTCAATGATCTGACTGGGAATGATGTCTTCTGTGTTACTTGTGCCACAAACTGGAAACCATTGGCTCTCCAGATTCTGCTAGACTACAATTCCTATATACTCTGTTCCAGTGCTTCCCAACCTTGGATCCCCAGGTGTTCTTGGACTACAACTCCCAGAAATCCTGGCCAGCAGAACTAGTGCTTAAGGCTTCTGGGAGTTTTAGTCCAAGAACATCTGGGGACCGAAGTTTAGGAACCATTGTTCTAGTCAATACTATCAACAGTTAAAGATGCTGAGAGCTGTAGTCGAACAAGATCAGGGGGACACAGATTCTCCACTGATTGTTTACTGATAGGCAGCACAATATAAACAGAATCCAGGTTGAACCATTACCTTTTCCACAGCCTGCTGCACAACAGGCAATGTCTCTTGCAACTTGTCCAGAGATTTGCAGGCAATATTGTCCACCACAGCAACTGGGAAAGGGAAGAAAAAGGAACCTTTTAACTTTTAATTTTTATCAAAAGGGCTGGGAATGATGGCAATTGCAGTCCACCACCATACAGAGAGACACAAGCTGGGAACAAACTATAAAAGGCAGACCGAGCAGGAGCAAGGCACCCAGGAGTGGGTCTACCACTCAACAGGAGATACTTACTTTGTGGTTCAAGTTTATCCAGGAGAGGTTGTGCCCCACTGGCTGCTGTTGTAGCAATAGCCTTCACTCCTACTTCTGCCATATCACAAACTGCCTGGATGGCTGGGTGGGACTCCTTGGCAGATGTGTAAGAAGCAGAAACCATCTCATAGGTGGAACTGACCAGGGGCAGATCAGACACCTTTTTCAGGACACACTAAAAAGAGACAACCACACTGAGTCACCACCATCTTGTCAGAATTCAGTCACACAGTGTCATTGGCAAGGCCAGAGTTCCTTGGTGAACAGAGGGCTCCCACTGGGACAGAGCACTGATTCTAACTGGAGGTGAGGGTAGAACTCTATCTGGGATTTGGGGTGGTGGTTAGATTACTGAATTAGGACTTGGGAAATGCAGTTCAAGCCATGAAACACAAGTGAAGCACTCTGGCTGGTCATTCTTTGTGACTGTAGAGTAATCTACCACCCACGATTATTGGGAGGATAACATTGAGGAGAAAGGAGGAAAGCCGCATATTCCAACTTAAACACTTTGGAGGAAAATCAGTGTATTGATGTGCAAACAGTATCTTCCCACTGGTAGTATTTTGATTACTAATATCATAGAGTGAAATACCTTCTGGTGTGCCAGACATGGGGGAGAACTGCTGTGAAAAGACTACCCCTCAGGGGTTTTGGGATCAGCTCTTCCAAGAATCCCCTGCTAATCAGAATACGCAGATGATCGCTCCCATGTAATAGTACTTCCACCTGGCTGACAGAGGCAGGTGGCTCACAACCAGAGCAAAGTAGGCTTCCAATGTGGAGGCAAGGTAGCTCCCTCCCCCTCCCAGTCCATGAGCTGCCTCTACTGCCTTTTATTACTGTGAAGAATGCAAAGCGATCCATTAATAGGCCTGACATCTATTGTTTGCACTTTAGCCCTCAGATACAGCAAGCACTTCCAGTTCCACATTTATAGCTAGCTGTGTGGCACTTTGATCACCTACCCAATGCTCCTCTTCTGTGCTCTCGGGGCTCGCTGTCTTTGTCTCCTCTTCAGCAGAAGACATGATGACAATGAGGAGGAGGAGGACACACTGCAGATGGCCAAGATAAATGCCACTCAACAAGAGAGCCACCAGCTGTATTGCACAAAGTAAAAAACTGCAACAGCAAGAAGAAAAAGTATTCAGTGTTGAGAACTAGGATCAGATTTAGAGACCCACTTGGCCAAGAAGATTCCAGGATGGCTTTGGGTCTTTCTTAGCCAAAATAAGCTACCTAGGTTTGTTGTGAACATAAAAATAGAGAGGGAGGGAAAGACCATGTAGGCCACCTTGAGCATCTCGGAGGAAAGGCAGCCTATAATTTATTTATTTATTTATTTTATTTATATCCCGCCTATCTAGTCAATAGACCACTCTAGGCGGCTCACAACAGGGGTACAACAATAACTAAAAACGAATTTACAAAGAAGAAAAGTTTCAACCATGAAATTATAAACTAAAAAAGAAAAAAGGAAAATCAGGATTAGCTAAGGGGAGGTGGGGGGGAAGGCCTGCCGAAACATCATTGTCTTTAATTGCTTTTAAAAAATATCCAGCCAGGGGGCCGATGTCCGGGGAAGGTTGTAACAAGCTTTGGGAGATCTATTAACAAAACAATTAGGAGTCACAATGTGCTCTTATATAATATGCAAAACACAGGCCAAGTAGTTTTGATAAGCGGATTCTATTCATCATTGGGCATTTTCAAAAGGCCTCCAAAACTGAACCTTTCAATGCACCTTAGCATTAAGGAAAAAATTATTTTTCTTTTTTTCCCCCAAATCCCCCAGCTAGTGTGGCTGTGTTGGCTTGAGAATTTGAGGACTGCCATTTCAAAAGTGACCTTTTAAAGCTCTCCACAGGACATAAGGCTTAGGCATGGTATGAAAGATTATAATTGCAAGTATACAAGACAAGTATCCAAAGAACAAGAAAAAGGAAGAAAGGAGGAAAGGAAACTCTGGGTCCCACCATTCAAACTTTAAATTAAGAGTGAGCAACTGGCAGTCTTTGGCCTTCTTGCAAAAGCAAAGCAAAGCGTGCTGCTTATATATTGCCCCATAGCGCTTCAAGCACTTTCTGGGTGGTTTACAAGTTAATTATGCAGGCTACACATTGCCCCCCCCCAGCGAGCTGGGTACTCATTTTACCGACCTCAGAAGGATAGAAGGCTGAGTCAACCTTATGTGCTACCTGGGATTGAACCCCAGGTTGTGAGCACAGTTTTGGCTGCAGTACAGCAATTTAACCACTGTGCCACAAGGCTAAAAACCATTTGTCCCTCCACTGGACAGCCTGCCAGATGGGAAGGAAGTGGGGGAAGGAAGTGGGGGATGTTCTTTGTTATATTTTTGGCTCCTGTCCCACCCACTGCTGGTATGCAACCCCCACCATTAAGGATTACACCATCCCCTTCAGGCAATGTAGTCCACTCTCCACATACACACCCCCCCAGGAAATCAGCTTTTCCCCACCTCCACCTAGCATATTCAGGAGGGAAGGTGTGGTATATGAGGTGGGATGGGAAAAGCTAATGATTCCCTCTGGGGACAGGAATGGTGCAATGCCTGGAGAGGGTTATTGCAATCCACAACAAGGGCCTGCATACGGGCAGGGGGCGAGGCAAGAGTCCAGAGTACTCCCATGAGTCACACTTTCAAGAGTCCTAGCCAGATAATATTCCTTGAGCACACACATTTAAGAACTTCCCTGGACTTCATGCTCTTGTGACCTCAAGAGTACATTTCCATAGGATTGGCCAGTCTTATCCCTCTGCTACAGCTCAGAAGAACTGAAGAAGGTAGTAAACTATTTACCGAAAGGACTGCCAAGTGAGTTTCTGTTACAGAGACCCCACAGTTCTACAAAACAACCCCAGGGTCACAGAATTAGGCTGTACCCTGAGAGCCCACCTTTTCCCCTTCTTCTTTGGCATGCTTCCAAACCATTTTGGAACACCAGTTCCTTGAAAAAGAACTCCTTTAAGTCTCTGGAAGAACAGGGAGCCTTGTAATACTTGGATACTGTATGTTGTGTGGATACAATGAGCTTTAGGCGGGATCTTGGGATTGTTATGAAGGTGTGTGTGTTTTTGGTCTGGTCTCTGAGTGTTCTTTGTTAATTTCATTGTATGTGTATACACTATATATATGTTCAATGACAATAAATGGAAATTGAAAATAAATTGAAATTATTTAAATTTTAATGTTAACTAGCCCCCCACCCCGTTTTCACATGTTCCAACACACTTCTTCCAAAGAATGGACACACAAAAGCTTATGAAAAATAAACAGTAGTTGGTCTTAAAGGTGCTACAAAACTCATGGTTTCTCTTGAACTACAACAAACGCTACTACAGGCTAGATTACCTGGCCTCTGTGTTGAAAACTCTTTGGAGTGTTGCAGGATTAGGCAGTCTAGAGGTGTCATAAGCAAAGAAGCCTAAACCTTTTAGACACCATCACAACAGAGCTAACACATATGACTTGCTAGGCCAGAAGTAGAGGCCACCTTTCTTAGCAGCTTTTATTTCCGAACAGTTTCAGGCAAGCCCACAAGCTTTAGATAAAAAGACACACACACACCCCGCCAGCACAGGGTAAACAGATGGGTAGTGCTTTTTGAGTTGGATGGCTCCATTGAGTTCTCTTGTGATTGGTATCCTTTTTTCTATAGAGTTGGCAAAACACACTTGATACCATATCACATCCTCTCAGGTGAAATCCAACAGAGCCACACCTCAAACTGACTCTTTACAGCTGCAGTCACCCATCTTGTAAATCACTTTAAAACTTGAGATCCCGCCCTTTCACCATCAAACCAGGATGTTTAGATTTTTCAGTTTCTCTCCCCACTTTAAGCTCTGTAACACCCAGCCAGATGAAAAGCCCTGCAGAACTCAAAAGCTTACCTTTTTCCAATATTTTGTTGGGCTTATAAAAAAAAAATCAGCCCTAAATTTGAACCTTTGAGCACAAAATAAAATTCATTTAAAACGATACTACAGAAGACCACATACAGCACTAAAGCACATCCCAGACACAAATAAATATTAAGGGTTACTATCTCAAGTTACCTAAAAACACAGTTCTCAAACTTACCTAGCAGCAACGCCTAACTCTCAAAGACCCTTATGGCACACAAGCTGATTTACCCAGGGGGATCTAATATATTAGTGATGATGTCATGGGGAGGCGGGCCAATCTTGATGGACTGCTGAGAAGAGCAATCAGAAATGCCCCGCAGGGTTCGATAAGAAAGCGGGAGTATGTGCCTCAGGCATTGTTCTGTGAATGGGGGAATCTGTGGTTGCAAAGCTCTGTTCTGTTTCTTAGGAGTAAGGACTATAGAATTTAGGAACTTACTTCAGAGTAAACATGTATAGCGCCATGTGGTCAACTGAGGGGGTGTATGATTGTTAATTCTAGTTCTTATTTTCTATGCTGCCTTTCTCCCTGTCTTCCCAGTTTACTCCTAAGTACTTATGTGGAGTTACCGACTGTATTGCAACATGGATCTTGCCTGGGTGTATGATGACAGACTTTCTCCGGAAGACTAATCTCTTCCTGAAGGCATCCTCATCAACACTGATTACTTTTTGGTTTTTTAATTATTATTATTATTTGCGCTCTGACATCCGTGCACATGGTGCTTTACGGCGCTCCGTATGAGGAAGGGTGGACTCAGCCCTTACCTATTTACGAGCTTCAATTATGACAGTTATGAGATCTTAGAGAAATATTTTTTTTCAAGCAAGGAGACAATCAATGTTTACTTTTACATAGCCATTCAGTCATCACAGAACAAATAAAAACCGAAACAAACACACACTATCCAGAATTCTTAAGTCGGGGTCACATGCATACCAATACAGTATTATCTTTCAAATGCTTTTGTCTAGCAACAAAAGATAAAAAAAAAAAGAAATTTGTAAACCGCTTCTGAATGTTCTCCACCTGGAAAACTCTTAGAAAGATCGCCAGATGTCAGAACTGAGTTGATGGCACGTGATGATTATTATTGTAATCGGAGCCTTTACTAGCCTTTTTTTGGCAGAGTGATCAATACAGTACAGTACTTTGTCGTGGGGGAGGGGGTTCGTTTCTGAATGAGAAGGTTACCCACATATTGTTCTCACACTTCCATTAATTGGTTAGTTTAATAAATTATGCTGCAGATTCTCAGTTTCAGGTAAGCCAGAGTGACTTGCACAGGAGGGATAACAGAAGGCAAAGGTGTATGATGATTCTCAAGACAGAAATATCAAAGACTTTCTTCCTCTGCAGTAAAATAAATATAATATAAATCAAATAGCAGCCCTGCCCTGTAATGTTACATTCCTGTAATTGTGGGAGTCTTCTATGTATACAGCCTGGATGTTTGACAAATAAATCCAGATACTCTATTATATTACTCATTCTGTTCTGACTCATTCATCCTGCCTGTCATTGGTTTTCAGACTGAGCTTCTGCAGTTCATCTATAAGAGTTTTAGCCATAATAAGGTTGCTGTTTCCCCTATCAGTGAGTCCCTGGGCTTTTACCAGCCAACGGAAAAGCAATAATTTAATAGATGAATCTTTTCCCATTCTTGCACCAGAAAGTTGCCAAGTGTTGAGTTTGGCTGTTTAAAGGCACTGAGGTTTTATCCAGTGAGACCCCCTGGGCTCCTAATATCTATAGACCAATGCCTTTGTTTTGTAGCTCCTTGCATGCTCTACAGTTTGCCAGCTAGGGTCCAGATGCAAAAGGCTCCTATACATTTAAGGAGTTCTATGGTACAGAACAATTTGGTAGGTGCAACTGGCTATGCAGTGCAACAGCTGCTGAAATTCCTTCTTTCTACAGAGCTCTTAAAGGTGCAGGATCAGTGCTTCCTTCTGAATCTGACGATCCTAAGACAATTCCATGTAGGAATATGTGTCTCCTGCTTTCTTCAGGAAGGTGATTTATGGCTTGCTGAGCAGGAAATAAAAAAAACACAGTACAACGTGACAGTAGAATCCCCCTTTCCCCCATCTGTGGCAGCTTTTTCATTTGCTTAGTGGTCCACCATGCTTTCTAATTCAGGTTTATTTTCAGATGCACGACTAGGTTTCCTAATGGATGCTTTGTGCCCTAATTCAGAACTCTGTGTTTGTGGTTCTATCAGCAGGTGCATCCTTTTGTTTCTGGCATGTTTGCACTTGAGTTTATCATCATGGATCTACATTCTTTATTTCCCCTCTTGTGGGTTGTTTTACACATTAGTACATCCTTGTGTGCATGCAAATCTGGAATTTCTTTTTGTGCTTATTGTTTTTCACCACAACCATTTTATTTAAGTGGTGTAAAGAAATACAGAATGGGGTGTACAGTCAGTTATGTATTTAACAAAATGTTGAATTATATCCCTCCTAGAGAAACCAGTGAGCAGAAATGCACTCTGCCATCCCCAAAGTTGCCCTGTTCTTCCCTCCCCTCCACCAGCATCCTCATTTGGGGGCCTATCACCAGTGGTGGATAGAAGCCTGCAGAATTCTCTGTGGACTGAGGGACTTCTATCACATGGTTAGAAGGCTGGATCTATGTCAGCTTCACTGGTTCCCCCAATTTTAAGTGATTTGGGACCAGGATATCCCAAAGACATCCTTTTTTAACCTAAGCTGTGAGAGATAAGCAGCCAGAGGGGGAAAAAAAAGAAGAAAATTCTTCCTGTACCTTTAAAAAATGCTGTAGAAGAAATCCCAGATGTTGCTTATCATGCAAACTGCGCCTGCCAACATGCCTTTTTTTCTTTGGAGCAGCTATTAAACCTGAAACAAAGGCCCTGCTTTCTTTTCTATCTGATTATCCCCTGTGGAACCTAAGAAATGGTTGGATAATTAATCATACTTTTAATATATCCAGCCTTATGTTGTGTTGTTGTTAAGTCATGTCCGACTCTTCGTGACCCCATGGACCAGAGCACGCCAGGCCCTCCTTTCTTCCACTTCTTCCCAGAGTTGGGTCAAATTCATCTTGATAGCTTTGGTGACACTGTCCATCCATCTCATCCTCTGTCATATCCTGCCCGAATGATCCTGCCTGATAAAAGTTTTCACAAAGGATTTTCTCGTTGCTTCTGGAGATGACTGGGATACAACCTTGAGCCACACTCCAGAACAAGTTCCTTACAGACTCACCTCTCCATCTCACTGCTTGCATTTCAACAAGCAATCAAACCAAGTCTCTTTAACTTCTTGAAGTTCCTGAGTGAGTGATTGATTGATTTATTATTCTTGCTGACTTCAGTTTTGGTAGTGTTTGTTGTTTTACTGACCTGTTTGGCTGGTTGATCTAGTGTTGTTTTTCTAGTAAGGGAAATGTAAAGATATCCTCTGGTATATAAGGTGGCTTTCCTACTGGTGATATCTCTAAGACAGGCAGAAAGTATTTCTTCACCTAAGAAGCCCCTTTTAAAAGGGGACTACACACATAGGCAAAAGGCAGATCTATCAACACATAATAGCCACCTGCGTTAACTTTAACTTGCTTCCAGGTGCAGTTCAAAGATCCCTAAACTACAGACCAGGATAGCTGGATTGCCATCTTACTGAAGCACTCAGCCAACGGAATTGCTCTTCCTTTCATATTTTATTGTGAGCTAATCAGGGTCCAGGCCCTTTTTTTGTGGTGGCACTCATCTATGGGATGCCCCATCAAAATATCTTCACCTGGCACTCATTTTGTTCTGTTGCAGGTGAGTGAGTCAAACTTTTGCTCACTTTGCCCAAGCTTTTGGTGAAGTATAATAATTTTTTTTCAAAGTGCACTAGTTTACACTGAGTAGAGTTTTTGCAGCTCAGTTCTCCATCAGAGGCACTCTCTTGTCCATTTCTTTCCAGCATTTTTCCTCCTGTATAAACCAGTGTTTTTCAATGTACAGCTGAGAAAAGTGCAACTCACAAGTTACCATTATCAGAACAATTTCTATATGCATAAGGTGGACATCCTCTCAACACCCAGTGCTTTCTATTATACTGTTGCTTGGCTTTTTAAGCCATGCATGCCTTTAACTGGAATGAATTAAAGAGCAGAAATCTGGCCCGTAGCCACTAAAGGCTGCATCAAGAAGAAAACCAGGAGCCCCACCCCTGGTCTCAAATTCAACCTGCTCCCTGTTCTTATTTGCATTTCTCCATGAGGTGAACACAGAAGGTGTGCTCAGATTGGGACTCTTGGCAGAAGCATGAGGTGGACATTCCCAAGACTTAACACACTGTAAGAGCAGTGCTATATGTTACAATGGCAACAGAAAGCACTGGGGCAAGGGCTACATTTTCCACAGCAAACACAGCCTGCTGGTATCTTTAAGCACCTGAATTCTAGATCAAATCAAGCCTGAACTATCTCTGGAGGCAAAGCACTGAGCTGTCCTCCTTTGGGGCACCTCATGGGAAGGTAGGATTCTGTGGCAAAGACAATGATCCAGGGAAAAGTGGAAGGCAACAGGAAAAGAAGAACAATAATCCTGGGAAAAGTGGAAGGCAACAGGAAAAGATGACCAAATAAGAGATGGTCTGACTCCCTTAAAGAAGTCACTGGCTTGAGTTTACAAGAGCTGAGCAGGACAGTTGAGGATGGGACATTTTGGAGATCACTTATTCATAGGATCACCATGAGTTGGAGGTGACTTAACAGCACATAACGACAATATATGTATCTGGGGACAGCTTTATTCTTTATTCAGTGTTTATTCTTGTCACACACAGGGAAAAAAGCCTGTCACATTCTTGTTGAAGTATCAGAAAAACATTTAAAACAAATTTAAAATAAAAAATCATAATAAACCTCAAACAAGGTTGTTCTCCAAACCAGGCAGAAATTTATTTAAAATGTGATCACAAATGGCACATTGCCCTTAAAATCCAATCTGGGCAAAGACATACAGAAAGAAACACATTACATACCTTACCTTTGTCCTAAAGTAAGACTGAACTTCCATCAAGAAGGTTCATCTTCTGGTTTCTCCCATTACAGTCATGAGAAACTTTTAAAATTCCTCTTTCAAACATCTGTTGTAGTGATTAATTTCTGTCGTTAATTTCCAATACACTGTAACGGTTTCTTAATACCCTGTTTCCCCCCAAAATAAGACAGGATCTTATATTAAGTTTTGCTCCAAAAAACCAAAACAAAACAAAACAACGCATTAGGGCTTATTTTCAGGCTTTTTTTGTTTTTCATGTACAACCATCTATGTTTATTCAAATACAGTCACGTCATCTTCCGACTGCTGCACAGTGGTGGAGGGCAGAGTTTCACTTAACTGGTGCTTATGTTGGGCGTAGGGCTTATATTACGGGCATCCTGAAAAATCCTACTAGGGCTTATTTTCAATTTAGGTCTGATTTTCGGGAAACAGGGTAGCTTCTTGCTCAGGAGTAATGAGGGATCAAACTACAAATCATATGTGTCTGTTCTTAATATGTTCTTAATATGTTTATTGATTAATATAATTAATAAAAATTATTTTCTGACAATTGTGGGCTTCCAAGTAATTCTGGCCTGATCCAGGTTTCTGAGAGATGTCTTGATTCATCATGGCACCTGATCTGGTGATGTTTGGTGTGTTTTTCTGAGTGTTGTCTCTCTACATGCCTTTGCTGTAAGAAACACTGTTGAAAACTCTACATCAAACTGTAAAATGTAGCACTGAAGTCCCCCCCCCCCCAAGAAAACAAGGAAGAGTCCTTCGTCAGCAACAAGTGGAGTTTATTTGGCATAAACTTTTGTGGACTGCAGCCCACTTTATTATGCCAAATAATGTTGGTCTTTAAGGTGCCCCTTCTTATGGGGGCCATTTTTATAGGGTCCAAAGGCATTCATCCCATACAAGCGTACTTTTTCTCTTATGTATATTTTAGAATACTTGTAAGCATCTTTGGGCAGACTTTGCTAAAAACCGAGAAGGTGATAGGCAGGGACCAAAAGCAACTCAGAAGAGTCTCCGGGGGCAATGCTGCCCCCCGTGGGGGATTCAAGCAGAATATAAATAAGCCTGGCAGGCGACGATCCAAGAAGGCAACCCGCTTTCCACCGCGGAGGGGCCGGTGCCCGCCCTGTTGACTTCCGCTCGGTAGTAGTAGCTGCTGGAGAGACCTTGTTTGACGTACGAAGCGGGGATGCAGGAGTGAGAAGGCGGCCAAGGAGAAAAGCGAGACTGTGAGGCGAAGAGGTGGGGGGGAGGCGAGCTAGGCGACCCCCGCTTATCATCCCAGGGCCGGGAGACGATCCTGAGGCTCTTCCCGCGCCCACCACCCACCTCCCGCCTTTCCCTCTTTTGGTGAAGCCCGAGCTGGTGAAGTGCAGCCATGAACGAGACCGGAGAGGAAGGGTAAGTGAGCGGCGCGAGCGAAGAAGGCGAGCAGCCCCCTCTCCCCCCCCGATGTGTTTCCTTTGATTTTGATTTCGCCTGGATGGGACGAAAATGCTTTGCCAATCCGGATCGCGGCGCGTTCACACTGGCTGCCCCCCCGCCATCTCCAGTGGTAGAGGGACCACGTCAGGCAATTTGATGCCAGGATATTTTTTTTTTTGTTTTTTCCAGGGGCGCTTCTCCGTAGCTTTGGGCTGCTGAGGCCCGGAAAGGGAGAGCCTGATGTTTAGGAAAAAGTTTTCGAAGAACGTGAAAACGGAGCGATGCGTGTTATCTTTCAGTTTTCTACAGTGGAATGGAGGGATTTAGGGGCAGGGCTGGAGAAACCGGTGGTTCGCTAAATATGAACTTCGCCGTCTTTTATTTTTCCATTTCATTTTTATTTTGTTTTTGACTGTAATGTTTGCACAGACTAACACGGCTAACTCTTGTTGTTGTTCAGTCGTTTAGTCGTGTCCGACTCTTCGTGACCCCATGGACCAGAACACGCCAGGCCCTCCTGTCTTCCACTGCCTCCCGGAGTTTGGTCAGATTCATGTTGTTTGCTTCAATGACATTGTCCAACCATCTCATCCTCTCTCATCCCCTTTTCCTCTTGTCTTCACGCTTTCCCAACATCAGAGTCTTTTCCAGGGAGTCTTCTCTTCTCATGACATGGCCAAGGTATTGGAACCTCAGCTTCAGGATCTGTCCTTCCAGTGAGCACTCAGGGTTGATGTCCTTCTAAATGGATAGGTTTGTTCTCTTTGCAGTCCAGGGGACTCTCAAGACTCTCCTCCAGCACCACAATTCAAAGGCATGAATTCTTTGATGGCCAGCCTTCTTTATGGTCCAGCTCTCACTTCCTTATATCACCACAGGAAAAACCATAGCTTTGACTATTCAGACTTTTGTTGGCAAGGTGATGTCTCTGCTTTTTAAGATGCTGTCAAGGTTTGTCATCGCTTTCCTCCCAAGAAGCAGGCGTCTGTTAATTTCGTGGCTGCTGTCTCCATCTGCAGTGATCATGGAGCCCAAGAAAGTAAAATCTGTCACTGCCTCCATATCTTCCCCTTCTAATTGCCAGGAGGTCATGGGACCAGTGGCCATGATTTTTTTTGATGTTCAGCTTCAGACCATTTTTGTGCTTTCCTCTTTCACCCTCATTAAGAGGTTCTTTAATTCCCCCTCACTTTCTGCCATCAGAGTGGTATCATCTGCATATCAGAGGTTGTTGATATTTCTTCCAGCAATCTTGATTCTGATTTGGGATTCATCCAGTCCAGCCTTTCGCATGATGCATTCTGCATGTAAATTAAATAAGCCGGGGGACAATATACAGCCATTTCGTACTCCTTTCCCAATTTTGATTTCTCAGGAGATAGATAAGGTGGTCAGGCACTCCCATTTAAGAACTTGCCATAGTTTGCTGTGGTCCACACAGTCAAAGGCTTTTGTGTAGTCAATGAAGCAGAAGTAGATGTTTTTCTGGAACTCTCTGGCTTTCTCCATAATCCAGTGCATGTTAGCAATTTGGTTGCCTATGAGAGCTATTCCATTTCTTCTACAGGATTCTTGCCCACAATAGTAGATATGATAATCGTCTGAATTGAATTCACCCATTCCCATCCATTTTAGTTCACTGACGCCCAGGATGTCAATGTTTATTCTTGCCATCTCCTGTTTGACCACCTCCAGCTTACCAAGGTTCATAGATCTTACATTCCAGGTTCCTATGCAGTATTTTTCTTTGCAGTATCGGATTTTCCTTTCACTTCCAGGCATGTCCGCAGCTGAGCGTCCTTTCAGCTTTGGCCCAACCACTTCATTAGGTCTGGATCTACTTGTACTTGTCCTCCACTCTTCCTCAGTAGCATGTTGGATGCCTTCTGACCTGAGGGTCTCATCTTCCAGCGTCGGATCTTTTAGCCTTTTGTTTCTGTTAATAGAGTTTTCCTGGCAAAGATACTGGAGTGGCTTGCCAGTTCCTGCTCCAGATGGATCGCATTTAGTCAGAACTCTCTACTATGACCTGTCTGTCTTGGGTGTCCCTGCACGCCATAGCCTATATTTTCTCTGAGTTACTCAAGCCTCTTTGTCATGACACTTCTCTGAAGTACTCAATCCCCTTCATCACAACTAGGCAGCAATCTGTGAAGGGGCTACCTCTTCTACAACTTCAGTAACCATGAGGCTAAACCGGCTTGTGGAATTGTTATATATGATGTCTATGATGGGAAGGGTGATTCATGAACTCTCCTCTACAACTTCAGTAACCATGAGGCTCAACCGGAGCAGGCTTGGTGAATTGTCATATATGACGTCTATGATGGGAAGGGTGATTCATGAACTTCTGAAGGGAAGTGCTTTCCCCTCCGCCCCCATGCCTAATTTTAGGATTAGGAGCCTACGTTCACCAAACAGATATGCAAAATAATCAGAAGGTTTATTTTTTAAGGGAAAGGTTTGGAAAGGGTGTGCCACAAACTTGATCCCCGGAGGGGAGGGTGTGTATGTGTGCTTAATTGATTCCTGTTACCTCGCGTTCTCTGCCAAGGCTGTTTGTCTTCTGATGGTTTTTCTTCTCATTTGAATGGCGTGTGTGTTTGAAGATATTTGTCCTCCCTGGAGTTATGCGTATATAAACATTGATGTAGATTATGGAAGGAGCAGCGTGGAAGTAACCAGTTACAAGCAGACTAGTTACTTTTATGGATAATGAGGATGGGTAGACGTTAACATTCCCAAAGCAACATGATAAGCAGGAACAAAGTTACATTGCTGGCTAACAAACAGTACTTTCTAATTATTTTCCGAAGTTTGACATATTTCACATTTTGACAAGCCCCACGCCCGCCCAAGTTTTACACCATGACTGACCTGAGTTTTCATTTCAGAAAGATAACAAAAACTAAGTACAGTTAGTTAGTTCCCAAGCTAGTTCCCACTGTTTTGATAGCGAACATTTATATTTCATACAGTAATGAATGAAAAAATGAATTGTTTTTAAAAGCTAAGAAAGGGAGTTGGCTTATCACTTCCCTGGCATGCTGTTTTGCCAGTCAAAACAATCCTCCTTTACAAACTGTTTTTCTGTTCTTCTAAAGGGTATTGGTCTCTGTGTATATTGCTGGATGAATTAAAGACACAGAACATCACATAAAAACGAGGAAATCTTTGTTGTCTGGTTCGATTTGTGTGGAATGCCATCACGGAACACTGTCATGGCGCTCTTTTGCTTCAAGGAGGTTGAGGAGGGGAATGTGGATGGAGGGGGGTAAATGGGGTTATTTCAGGGAAGGGCGTGTACCCGAGGCTGTTTGACAGAGGAAAGGGAGTGCTGAGCCAAGGGTGTTATGGGAAAGTTGGTTTTGTATTACATGCATGCTGTATTTGTTTGGCAGAAAGCCTGGTGGAGCTCACTGAGAAATTGAGGCAGCTGTTGATTCTTACTTGCTAAGTGCAGAAATGCATAAATTCCTGCTTCTTCAAATGGATATGAATGATGGTCTTTATCCCCCACCCCTTTGTTTCCTGAACACTATTCCCCCTAGTACAAGATGCAACAATGTGCATAGTACAATGATATTTGATCTCAGGTTTTGTATCTGCAAATGGTGTTCTTGAATGGAATGCCACTACCAGTGAGGCTGTCGAGCCAGGACTGTCTGGGTTCATGCTTGGAGACTTTCTGATTATCAAGGATTATGACATCAGTGGCCACACCCTTGAGAGTTTCTTGTCCCCTCAGAGCTTAATTGCCATCTTTAGCACCTCAGGAGGTGGGGAAGAAATGAATTTTAGGAGTAGTAACCTCTAGCTCCAATGTATCCCTGTTGTACTACAAAGTTTTTGAAAATGGTCTGGTCTTGAAACAAAAGTTGTTATTTTTACAAACCTCTTGCTCCTCATTTGCTCATACAGAATGATCCAACTGCCTACATGTGTTGGATTTTCCTTCTGAGAGGAGTCTTGCTATAGAGACTCTCATGGTGAACACCCACGCTTTCAAATTTAAGATGACACCACTAATTATGGTGGGGTGGTTTTTGGTGCCCCCCCAATCCAATATGTATCTTGCCATATCACCAGGATTCCATCCACAGTCTTCTCCGGTACTTAAAGATGCACGGCAGGATTTTCCAATCTTCCAAAATGGGATTTTGGTGGACATTTAAGGGGCCGCAGTGGACAGGAACATTGTGCCCTTTGCACTGGGTTCTGGTCTTGTGCAAATGGGAGTCTAGCACTAGATACAGCTCACCTCACCTTTTGAATCTCAAAGTCAACCTTGACCTTACTCAAATCCTCCTCCTCTTGTAGATATGAGGGTACTGTCCTCTGCATCAACGCTGAGGTAACTTTGCTCTGTCCCTGCACCTCCCATCATCTTTTAGCCTGTAGTTCCCATTAGCCTCAGACAACATGGCCAATGGTAAGGCAGTACTGGAGTTGTTGTCCTGGGCTTTCCCGGGGAGTAGACCAGGCCTACTGGGGGAAACCCTCCCCTGGTAGGCCCGGTCCACCCTGGGAAAGCCTGTGTTGGCAGGGGTGGGGGACCTCCAAGAGGCCTCCCATGGCAGCGGAGAAGCCCTGGAAGGCCTCTGGAGGTCCCCCTCGCTGCCAATCGTGCCTCTCGGAGGTCCCCTCCACCGGATCGTGCCTCTCGGAGGTCCCTCCCACCGCCAATCGTGCTTCGGAGGCACAATTGGCGGCGGCGGGGGACCTCTGAGATGCCTCCCATGGCGACGGAGAAGTCCTGGAGGGCATCCGGAGTCACAATCAGTGGCCTACAGACTGGAAGGGGGAAGCGGGGAAAGTGCCAAATTTGAATTTGGCGCTTTCCCCACCTTCCCCTTCTGGTCCGTAGGTCGATTCTCGGCCGCAAGTTGATGGGAAATTTTGCAGCCAGAGAAGTCTGTACCTCGAAAAGTATGTCGAGAGTTCACTGTATTCCATATATATAAAACAAATTTCTTTAAAAGGTTTTTTTATCTGATTTATTGTATTTCTTTTTACTACATTAAACAAGTATTTTTCAACATCCCCATTTATTTCTGAGGATTCCGTATCCCACCACATTAATTTTTCTTTATTGTGTATAATCTCTCCAATAAATTGATTTGCTATATAATAATTTTTTACATTAGAAATACCTGAACCTCCTTTTTTGTGCCTGATACCAGTATCTTTTATTTATTCTAGCTTTTTTACATTGATTACAAAATCCATTAACTAATCCCTGCCAATACAGTGGTGCCCCGCATAGCGACATTAATCCGTTCCAGGATTAACGTCGCTATCCGGAAACATCACTATACGGAACATAAAACCTCATAGGAACGCATTAAACTCCGTTTAATGCGTTCCTATGGGGGGAAAACTCACCGGTAAGCGAAGATTCCCCATCCGGCCGCCATTTTCGCCGCCTTGGTAAGGGAGGGCAGGGCGCGAAAACGCTGCAGGCGGCCATTTTCTGCACCCGGCAGCCATTTTGGAACCACCGATCAGCTGTTTTCTAAACATCGCAATGCGAAGATCGGTAAGCAAAACGCTTACCGATCATCGCAATGCGATGTTTTGCCACCTAAAACATCGCAAAGCAATTGCATTAGCGATCGCAAAAAACACGTCGCTATGCGGATTCGTCGTTAAATGGTGCGCTCATTAAGCAAGGCACCACTGTACTTGAAATCTTCTTCTTCTAATTGAATTGGGAGCATCCTAAATAAAAAGGCAATTTTTGGTAATATTTTCATTTTAATCATAGCGATTCTCCCAAACCATGATAATTTTGATTTAGAATAAAGATAAAAAAGTTTATCTTTAATATCACTTTTTAGTCTAATAGTTAATCCTGTTATTTCCCGAAATTTTTCTAAGTGCTTTTTGATATTATCCATACTCTCTAATGGGTTTTTAATAGTCAATCATCAGCAAATAAATTAATCTTAATTGTATCATTTTTTCCTAATCCTTTAATTAATTCATCATTTATTATTGCATTAACTACCAATTTTATAACCATACACAATAATATTGGTGAAAGTGAACAGCCTTCTCTCATGCCTCGGCCTAGAAAAATCCAGTCCGTTAAACCAACATTAACTATTACTCCTGGGGTGGGCATCACAATACAGGTGGAAAGTAGCACTGTCTTCTCCCAAGAATTCCTGCCCTCTTTCTGCTCTCTGTTCATTGATCCATTGTTGTTTAGTCGTTAAGTCGTGTCCGACTCTTCATGAGTCATATATTATGCATGACCGGAGTTAGATTCCAACAGTGTCTGAGGTCCCATCATTGGGCATCACTCTAGAGCAGGGCTGGGCAACTGTGGCCTTCCAGAGTTTTTGGATTGCAGCTCCCATGATCTCTTACTTCTGGTGTTAGACCACCTCCTTATGAAGGTGGAAAGGAAGGAAGGAGATGACCTTGCTCAACAGGACGGCCCTCAGAACTGACTCTTCCATCTGATTCTTCATTGAAAGATCCTACCCTTCCAGCAGGATTAAGGAGCTCAACTGCCTGCGAGTTATTTGCACCAATTTCCTCTTAATACAGGTGATTAAATCTACTCCCTCTGCTTCTTCCACAAGCCATCTACTTTAGTCTCTCCCTCCTCCTCCTCTATTCTTCCCACTGGGCCCTTCAGTCCATAAACTCTTCTTCCACCTCTTGCAACACCCAGAACAAGCTCATTGACTTTTGAATCCCTTCTGCTAAAATCCACTGAACCTTATCTTTCACCGCTTTATTATTCAAAAGCAAACACTTCTGTCATCTTAGGGGCCAGTTGGCTACATGGGAGTTTAGCCCATCCTGTAGCCTCCTGTTGGAATTGCTGGGTGTGATCTAAAAATGTCTGCTACATGACATTCTTGTTAGAACATTCGAACCCATCTCTAATGCGGAGCAATCCATCCCAGACTGGTCTAGGGTTCGACCCTACTGTTTATTTATAATGATTAGGATTGGTCCAAATAAACATGGTTTTCTTCCTGTGTGATCACTAGATCACTCCAGTGTAGGATTGGTGTGTGTGTGTTCTTTCTATACATGAAAGGTGGGAGAGAGTGGAAATTGGACAATCGCTCTCTTCTCCCCCTCCTCCACTCTGCTTTCTGCACTTGCACACTTGTGTGTGTATGTGTGTGTGCGCACGTGTGTGTGTGTGCATATGCAAATGTTTGTGTGTGTGTTTGTGCATTGCAAGGATTATGGGGTTTGGTCACCAACTGTGTGCATCAGTTTAAAACTTTTGGGGGCGGGTGGGCTGAGGGAGCAGGTAAACATGTTCATGAAAGTAGATGCACACAACACACTGATCCCCCTTGGCAGCACCTCTGTGTGTGTGTGTGTGTGTCTTCCCTCTTTAACTAGATCAATGGGGCCCACTTATATGAATTCAAATGTCTTACTCCATCCTTCTCACCTTGCCCCCCTTTTCTGTCCCACATTTCCCCCCTTTCTCTGTCCTCTGCCCAGCAAAGGAAATGCTTAATTTGCCAATATGGAGAAGTGGCTTGTTGATTAAGCCACTTTGCAATATTGGCTTTGGCCCAACCCGTCACATGGAGATGGCGGGAGCCGTTCTAATGTGGCCTGCACCATCTTACTCTCTGCTGTTAATATGCTCTTAGGGACTACTTGTAGAAGCCTTCAGAAGTGGCAATTCACTTTTGAAGTAAGTCACAGCAAACCTTTTAGTAATTGAGTATCAATTTTTCAAACCTGGATTTTTAGGTGTTTCTGTTTCCATTTTTGTGTGTTGGCATTTTGGGTGGTCTGTGCAACCTCCCCTCAGGTTCCAGGGGCAGAAAAGTGGCCCCTGACCCTTTCAAAGTTGTCTGTTCCTTTCCAGACCAAGTGTTATCTGGCAAAGGTTCTCATAGATTGCAGCCTGGATGCAGTCTATAAAACCTTGCACCAAATACAAATCATTATCCTTTGAACTGACACGGATGTCCTGTCTGTATCTCTCTGTTCATCTTAGTACCTCTGCCACTGTCCTTCGTGTTGGGCATTTAAAGCCCCGTGAAAGGGCACAGAATGCCAGGATGCCAGAATATTTCTTTGAGATACTGTACCTCTACCCCTTCTGTACTCATTTCCTGCTCATTTGGCTGCTGTAGTGAGCAGAAACACCATTTTTTATTCTTCACATCTTGCTGTTGGCTATACATTTTTAGCTATGGCTGACGGGAGCTGCAGTCCAACAACATCTGGAAATCACACCAGTAATTCCAAATCTGAGTACCAAGGACTTATTAATGGACTTCAAACACTCAACATGTGCATTAAAAAAAAATAAACACAGTAGATGTTATGTCTACTGTGCCTCTGCTTTGGCCCTTCCCACCTGCCTCTGTTGTGAATGGCTGACTTTGCCTTAGTTCTGTACTCAGTGTGGCTGGATCATTGTATCTTTTCTGATGCAGAGTAGCGCTAACATAGTTGGCTTTTGGAGAAGGCTGTCTGTTGTATCTCTGCTTGAGCTACTGTTCTGAGCATGTCTCCTTTCAGGCAGTAGACACAACTGGAACTTTAGAAGAGGTAGCCGTGTTAGTCTGCGCTAGCATGTCAGATAAAAATGAAACAAAAATTAAAAAAAATAAAGAACACAAAAACATTGCAGCACTTTAAAGACCAACTGCTATATTTTAATGTGAGTGTTCGTGGACAGGCCCACTTCTTCAGACTTGTCCATGAAACCTCACATTAAAACATAACAGCTAGTCCTTAAAATGCTACAACATTTTTCTCTTCGTAATTAAATGTTGTTTGTTTGTTTGTGCCTGACAAATGGAACTGTGAACCACGTAGAATCACAGGAATGGCTTCTTCCAAGATGAGTCATTTTAATTCCTCATGCTCTCTCTCTCTCTCTCTCTCTCTCTCTCTCTCTCTCTCTTTTGTGTAAATCTTTCTGTTGTCATTTAGGGCAGTGGTCCCCAACCTTGGGCCTCCAGATGTTCTTGGACTACAACTCCCAGAAGCCTTCACCACCACCTCTGCTGGCCAGGATTTCTGGGAGTTGAAGTCCAAGGACATCTGGAGGCGCAAGGTTGGGGACCACTGATTTAGGGTATGTTTCTGGTTTCAAGTTGAGAGAAGTGGAAAGAAGTGTGTTTCAGCTAATGGAAGTTTCAGACATGGTTGATCTAGAGACATCTCCAGCAAAGATGGTGATATATAAAAGCAGGATTTTTCAAGCCCTATGCCTTTGTGTAAAACTATTTTATATAATGATAACCTAGTTTACTCGAACAATTACCAAGTTTATTTGCTCATTTCTTGCTTGAATGGCTTTCATGCCTGTTACAGTATCTCCCAATCATGTTGTTACTCTATTGTACCTTTATATTTTTAAAGTGAGACGCAGTGTCCTGGGATTTGCGAAGAGTCTTTTTCTTTTGTGAATTTGAAAAGAATTTATTCTCTACCATTATGATTCTTTAATAGGGACTATGACTTCTTCGAAAATGTGACTTGTGAAAGTCCAATAGAAATGGAGCCTTTTCTACGCTACTCCCTTGCTCCATCGGTAAGTGGATCAACTGCCAAACACATATTGGCTTGACATTTCCTGATTAATGCATGCAGCTCTAGACAAACAATAGGAATTCCCTGTCTGAATCTGGGCAGGGCAAAATCAGTACAGGATTAGATTCAAATAGAGGAGCCAAGGGTATGAGTGGGTGGGTGGAGAATGTATTTATTTCTCAAATTAATTAATTCTGTATGCACCATAAGAAAGGTGCAAGAAGGAAATATATTCTGTTGATTCCATCTTGGAGGGGATGTGAAGGCTGTATGTCTCCAGGAGGATTCTCACCAGCTTTTGTTATTGACTAACGCAGCCTTGACCAACACACACCCTTTAAGTGTGTTGCATTAGAACTGCCATTGCCTCCTACCAACGTAGACCTCCTTGTTCTGTATTAGAGTCTGAAGGTTTGCCAATGCCTTTGTTATCCTTGTGGCTTTTCCTTTTCTTGCAGCTCCTGATCATAATAATCTTGTCCTTTCTTGAAACAAGAACAAGAAGATGCTGGCTTGATGAAAAATTGCCTCGGTGCAGTGGCTGTATTGGGGTGTTGACGTGAGTTGAAAACCTCGTTTTCTACTGCTCTTTTAAGTCACATATAAAAGAGAAGTGCATCAACCCCTCAATGGCTATTCTTGGGTCAAAGCAGATCACCTTTTCAGATCTGTTCTTATGCTTGCAGTGTAGAGAGATGTCTTCTATTTTCCATCCAGACTTAAACCACCATGTTTCATACCCAAGCAGAGCAACCTCTATCTGTCGTATCGGGTGGGGGACCTCTGCATGGTCACTTGGGGGGCAGCCTTTACATTCATCCTGCCCAACTCCACTGGCCCCAGACTGTCATAATGCAAAGGCAAAAGCTGATGAAAAGAGAGCCTCTAAGTAGGACTTCTGTCTCGTCTAAATCCTCCAATCAGGACAGAATAGATTGTTGCAGGAAAAGTTAAAGTTAGCTGAGGTGAAACAGAACAGAATGAAACACAGGTTTCATAAACTTGTATGTCTCAGTCAGGCTCAAGCAGAGAGCTTTGGTGTGAGAATTGGGTTTTTCGAAAGTCATAAGAGTGATTGTCATATTTGTCTCTGAGATGTCAAAGGCAGGGGCCTGATTTATCATTAGGTAGAACGAACCAGCCACCTCTGGCAGTAGATTTTGATGTAATGCAAAGACAGCAAATGGTTAGTTAATGTATTTTTTTATGCCGGCCACAGAGACTGGTGAAACGTCAGGAAGAACAACCTTCAGAACACAGCCAAAGAACCCGAAAAACCCACAACAACCATTAGATCCCGGCCATGAAAGCCTTCGCGAATACATATTTTTATTTTGTTTTTTACTGTCAGGAAGGTCCTCCCCAGCCCCCTTTTGCCCCATATACTTAAATAACATTGTTGGCTTCATGTACGCTATATCTTGATTTGGAGGGCGCCATTTGTTGCCCTGCCTCAGGCAACCAAATATGTTTGGCTGGCTGTGGTTGGATGGTTTGTGATTCAGGTAATTTCAGTTCTCTGAATTAAGAGCTACAAGGCATTTGCGATTGTTACCTGATAATATTGGCCACTTAGAATGAAAGTTCTCCTCACAACCAAGAAAAGAACTCTCTCAAGCACTGTGTTGCTCAGATACCATTTCATAAGCATTTAAAAAAATACGATAAATGTGATGAATATATTACCTATGAAAAGGTATAGAACAGTGTTTGGCCTAAGGAGCTATGAAAAAACTGTAGACCAGTAGTTTAGGTAGTCTAGCATTCTGCTCAGATAATAACCTACTACAGTGGTGCCTTGACCTACGAACGTCCCAACCTACGAACACTGTGAGTTACAAACAGCTCAGTTCGCGAAATTTTGCTTTGACTTGCGAATGGAGCTTTGACATGAATAAAAAAACACGGGGGAAGCAGGAAATGGACTTTGTATTGCCTGGTACTGCCTGGTACTGTAATTTTAAAATGTAAAAATTGGTTTAAAAGGTGCTTGGTTTGGTTTAAAGCTGTTTGGTTTTAAAAGTATTTAAAAGGTGTTCGTTCCCTCCCTCCTTTCCTGCCTTTTTTTAAAACCTAAATTCATCTTAGGTTCATTTTAGGTTAAAAGAATAAAAATTCTCCCCCTAGTGGTAGAGGATGGATTAACTGGTTACAAACTTACAAACCATGCTTTGACATAAGAACAAAAAACAGCTGGAACAGATTACAGTGGTGCCTCGCATAACGAGTGCACCGTTTAACGATGAATCCGCATAGTGATGCGGATTTTGCGATCGCTAATGCGATCGCATACCGATGTTTCCAATGGTCAAAAATCGCTTTGCGATGATCGGTAAGCGTTTTGCTTACCGATTTTCGCATAGCGATTTTTTAAAAACAGCTGATCGGCGGTTCCAAAATGGCCGCCGGGTAAAGAAAATGGCCGCCCCCTCCGTTTTCGCGCCCTGCCCTCGCTTACCAAGGGTGCGAAAATGGCGGCCGCATGAGGGATCTTCGCATAACGGTGAGTTTATCCCCCATAAGAACGCATTAAACGTGTTTTAATGCGTTCTTATGGGGTTTTCTGGCCCGCATAGCGACGAATCCACGGATTAACGTCGCTATGTGGGGCACCACTGTAATCGGTTTTCAGTGCATTCCTATGGGAAATGCTGATTTGACTTATACACTTTTCCACTTAAGAACATCTTCTGGGACGGATCAAGTTCATAAGTCAAGGCACCACTATAGTTGCCTGTGGCAAATCCACAGGCAGATCATGTGTAAAACTGTTTTCTTCTGGTTTTGGATGTCATGAACATGATAGGGCTGGCTTTCTTATGAACTGCAGCTTTGGTCCACAGACTCCATTATGTTTTTTTTAAAGTTTTAGTGGCCATTCTTTTGCAGCTGTATGAACATAATGAACGTCCAGGATGTATGCATAAGCATATGAAAGAACACAGTAAAGAGACAGAGGCCAAAATCCTGTTCCATAAATTGTATCTGTGTAAGAGTGATCATGTCACTGCTTAGGGGAGACTGCTGCAGCTTAAAGAGTTTCTGCTTCAAATCCAGGGCTTTCTCAACTCATATGTAATCCTCCTCCTTGAACACAAGTTGGGTGAGCCCCAGAATGGAAGCAGGTGCTCTTTAGTTACTAGAAGTAATTACTATTGCCTTGCTTGTAATGTCATCTGCCAGGGAAAGACTGCTGGTAATTGAAGAGTTGGTGTTTCCATCCTGGGATTTCCTCAACTTGCATGTAATGAAACTGATTGTACATGAGTAGAACAAGCTTTGGGGACAAAGCAGGATCTCTGGCAATCTCTCTCTGCCAGCGATACGGATGACTCTTGTGCAGATGTGATTTACAGAACAAGATTTTAGCCAGAGTGTATGGCACAGTAAGTGTATTGTACTTCTTTGGTTGGACTTAATAAAGACTCTTTGTAAATAAGACAACAGCTACATCGTCTTGCATTGGAAACCCCCAATTAAAACAATACTACAGTGAGATCTTATAGAAGAGTGCCAAGATCACTTTAAAATGTTTTGTACTGATATATGAATAACGTTACATTTTAATGTTTCCTTTACTGTCCTCATATCATGCTATATTTTAATAGTGTTTAATAGAATGTTTTCTATAAACCACCAGACATCCAAGGTGCTGGCACAGATGCGTCTAAAATCTATTTTATTTCTCTTACATCCAAAAATTTAGATTGCTTAGTTTGGGAGACAGGAATGATGGCTGGGTTTGCAGTCCAATGCATGCTTATATAAGCTATTTGTATTTAAGAACCCAGAACATCGGGGGGGGGGGGCTCGGGGGAAAATCTGGCTTCCATCTTTGAAAAAATTCCTTTTCATACCTAAGTTTCTCCATGACATAAGTATCATGCACAGGCTGTTTCTCCATTTATCATTGAAAGCCTGGTAAAATGATACAAGTTGCTGGTGCCCCTGTTGTCTCTATTAACTCCTCATTGCTGTTAAATCTTCTGTTTTAAACAATGCATAAGGCTGTTCAATTTGCTGGATGGAAAGAGGGAGGACTATATATATGGAGACATCTATCTATCTATCTATCTATCTTAATTTGCTGGATGGAAAGAGAGAGGACTATATATATGGAGACATATATATATTCTGGGACTCTTCCCCCCCCCCCATGTAAACCATTACAGGTCAGTTCATTAAAGATAAAGTGACTCCTACAACATCAAGCCTGTGTTTCCAGAGAGATAAAATCTTGTATTTCACAGTCATTGTGATTGGGTTCTTCATGCAGTGTAGGCGGGCCTAGGGATTCGGCGGGAATGACAGTCGGGGTAGACGTTTTTGTTCCAATCAACTCAGGTTTATTAACTTTAACATCGGTTAAATCCGGACCAAGCGGGTCCAACAGCTCTGCATCGGTTAACAGGGTATACTTCTTAGGTTTAACAACTCTTCCAACATTCCCCACTCTTAACGTCTCTTCACTCCAGGGAGGAGGGTTGTGCCCGAGTTCATTATGGGAATACTCAGCACCGCACATGTCGTCCCACAACAAGGATGCTTCACGACAGTACCCTCTAGCCTCGGTAGAAAGGGGCTGGTTCCACAAGGGGTCCCAGGGTTGGGCAACCGAATCCGCTTCCTTGTTCCATCCCTTCTTTTGCTCACCTGCTCCCTGCTTCTTTAATTCTTTGGGCAAGGGCAGCAGTGCATCCTCCTTCATGAGGTTTGGAAAGCTTTTCACCAACTGGGCTATTCTCTCTCGTTCCGCTCCTGTCTCATCCGTCTGAACCCCTCTTTCCACACTTTCCGTTCTGCCTCTACCTCCCTCCTCCTCCTCTTTTATCTCCTCGTCCCATCTCCATACGCCCAACTCCTCCCCCCAATCTCTAGCTATTTCCGCCAGGAACACTTCAATCGCTTTATTTGTTCCGCCGTCATCATCATCCAGTTTTATTAGTACCCCCACGACACATCCTTCACTTTCTTCCTTTGGCTTTTCAAGTGAGGACGGCTCACTCCTTTCTTTCTTTCTGGGACTCTTCTCCCCCCCCCCATGTAAACCATTACTGGTCAGTTCATTAAAGATAAAGTGACTCCTAAAACACTAAGCCTGTGTTTCCAGAGAGATAAAATCTTGTATTTCACAGTCATAGATGAGGAAAGGGAGCAAGATGCTAGACTCTTCATACAATCTGAACTCTTCAGAAGTTCTTACACAGGGATAAAGGGGCTGGTAACTTAATTCTCTAACATTCTGTTAGCCTCTTCCAATTATTCAATCGGTAGCTTATTAAGTGTGGAACAAGCCTTCAGTTGCACAATCCTAGAGAGATGTGGAACTCTCTTTCCAGTCACAAGCTATTCCAATCAGTCCATCAAACATCTCCCCTAATGGTTTCACCAGGTGACAAAATTAGGGTGTATCACCAAAAACAATTCTGCTGAAGGGCACATGGTAGCTTGAGGATGTTCTTACACTGGTGGTGGGATTTGCAGTTGCACAATCCTAGAGAGATGTGGAACTCTTTTTCCAGTCACAAGCTACAGTATTCCAATCAATCCATCAAACACCTCTCCTAATGGTTTCACCAGGTGACAAAATTAGGGTATATCACCAAAAACAATTCTGCTGAAGGGCACATGGTAGCTTGAGGATGTTCTTACACTGGTGGTGGGATTTGCCCCAAGCAAGATGACATTAAAATAATATCCGATGGCTCACTCCAGTTAGAACTCATATTCACACTATTAAACCTATTTGCTGGTGGCCATTGCTCTTTCCTGTGGCAATAATTGGTCACGTTTTGATGACTCATAGCAAAGCAGGAAATAGCCAATGGTAGGCAAGCAGCCTTGAACTTTCTTTAGAGAGTTAGCACAAATGTGTGTGGGACTTAGCACTATTAGAGAAACTGTATAGGTACAACTCAACACAATTTGTCCCATGGTTTGGCCCACTGGAGATGGGTTTCTTTTCCTTCCAATCACATGGACTACAGATCATCATGAACTAATTCATCCTGATCGAGGTCGACCCACATATTTTGGGGATCTCTGTCAGGGCTAGGGTTTGTTTTTGTTCTTTTGTGAGGGTATGGTCACTCTGTTTTGGTTTGGTTCCAGCATGTGTGATTGTTGGGAATGAATCAAAGTTGTCCTGTTGCTTAAGCCACTTCATGGTCTTGGGAAATTGAAATGTGGATTCAAGGATCACCCCACATCACACCTCAAAGCAACTGTGTTTAGCACAATCTAGCCTGACCGAGGCCAGAATAATTTAGCTGTCTAGTCATACCCTAACGTAGGAAATCAGGGAGGTCAGAGACCAAAAAAGACTTTGAGTGTTTGGTTTCCTTTTCTTTGTTCATCTCTGTACTTCAAAGTGAAAGTATCTAGAAAGAAGCATCATTTGCACTTTGGAATACTTGGGAAAATTCACTTGGCTGAGTGTGACTTCCTGAGTCTCAAAAAAACAATTAGATTTTTCCATGTCATGATTGAGTACAGAGAACAACAATTTCCTCTGAAGAACCACTGGCATCTGTGCAAAACTCAAGAATGCAATGGTAATTTTACATTGTGTTTTGGTTATGTGATTCTTTATAAAGCCTTGTTATTGCTATATCTGCATATCTGAGCTATTGCAATATGTCTGTACTCAATAAAGAAAGTTTGTATTGCTCTAGATGCATACTTTCCAAGAAAATCAAGACATATCCTAGAAGTGTACACTCCCAGATGTTCAATTTCAGAATTAAAAACTTGAGGGGAATATGTAGAAAGGGTGAGCAGTGTGATAGATAGAGGCATATCAGTAGGTTTTGCAATTTAAAACACCATTAAGATATTAATTCCCAAATCTTAAAGTGGTGTTCAAGAGTTGTATTTTTGTGGTGGACTTGAATACTGTTTGTAGGTTGTGTTTTTACAAAAGTTTCCCCATGCGGTCTGTGACCCCTTTTATGTATGGCAGAATACTCCCGCCCACCTCCTTACGCACTCCTGCACTCCAGAGCGCCCATGTGAGTGCTGTGCCACTGTTTGCACATGCGCGTGCACGCACACTCATTCGAGAGAGAGAGAGAGAGAGAGAGAGACTGTGTGTGCTCGATCACACATGAGTGTGGGGAGTGCCCCGCCTTCCCCAGCCAGTCCATGGGGTGAAAAAGGTTGGGGAGCCCTGCTTTAAAATGTCCTACACTGTCTGATCCACCTTCGGAAGTGCTCTTAACATGGTGAACAGGCCTGTCAGACAAACATAGAATAATATTGTTTGGAAGCTATACTCTGTCACCAGTCTATATTAAAGATTGATCCAAGCATCCACCCAGTAAACCAGCTCCCTTGTCAAAAAGGAGAAGGCAGCAGCTAGATTATCAGTCCAGGTCACAAGGAGTTCCAAGGGATCAAGGCAGGCAGTAAACATCACATGATAAAGACAGGCAAGCCCCTTATCTTCAACACCAAATCAACTGTGAAAGGAGGATGTATTTTATTTATTATTATTATACTGTCATAGACCTGAATATACAAAGATAAAAACATTATATAAGATATACAGAGTAAGTTGTTAAAACATATCAGCAGTATGAAACTTGAGGCATGTGGTTGTCTTAATATAACATTTTACCAGTTTTTAAAACTGAGAATAAAAACTTAGCCACCGACTGTGTGAAAGGAGGATTTACATCTCTCAGGATGCCTCTCCCAAGTGTCCAGCTGTTTTCAGTTAGTTATAAGGAGCCTGTTGGATTTTGAGATCCCGAAGTGCTTCTGCTCCAACAGCTACAGCTGATGTTGCTCCCTCAAACAACTAGCCTACATGTAAATTAGGCCCCCTTCATCCTCTTCTCCTGAGCCTCTGAAGGAATCTGCCCAGGTGAGGGGGGGGACCCAAATTCCCCCTTAGGTTCTGGCTCAGCTTGGTGAGGTAGGACACTCTTCAAGCAAATGGAAACAAATCACCAAGCATAAATGAGATAGTGGCATTGCTATTTGATGTTGTAGAGAGTACGTCTATCAAAATTCTAACAAGAATATGCCAGCAATGAAGCAAAGACCAACAGACTCAAAATATTCATTATACATATGAGTCTCAAATGGAGATGGGCATGAACCTTGGTTCAGAGGTCTGGTCCAGTTTGTCACTGCCCTTGCACATGGCCCCCTCCCCCTCCCCTGCACACTCGTCCATTCCTTGGGTGATATGTGCTTCCCTTCCTGCCTCCCCAGAGCCACTGGCCACTCCCCTTTTGCTGCCTGCTCTCCCCTCTTTCCTCTTCTCCATCAGCCACCCACCCATACGAGGAGGTGGGACAGGGATTCTTGCAGTGCTGTCTTTGAGTGGGCAGCAGACAGAGAACATGGAAGAAGGAAGAGCAGGCCTGCAAAAGGTGAGTGGCCAGTCACACTGGGGAGGCAGGGAGGGTCACCCGAGGAATGGGCGAGTGTGCAGGGGAGGCAGGAAGGGGGAGGGTGCCGTGTCCACACAACATCGGTGCAAATGCAGCAAAGATTGGGATGAGCCTCTGAACCAAGATTTGCACCCATCTCTGGTCTCGGAGAAACAAGATCTAAAGACAGCAGTAACGAGAGCCTCATTAAATTAATTTTCCATGCAAGCAAAGTGATATTCAAAATTTTACAAAAAAACTTGTTTTGGTTTGCCCCATATGGAACGGAGAAGGAAAAGGAAGATGTGATGGATAACCGTATTGCAAATATACATTGGTTACCGGACCATACCAAAGACTTTAAAAAGAAAATCAATTTGTACTTAATAGATTACAATAAGCCTTTGACTGTGTGCATCAGGAATAGCTACAATTCTTTCTAAAATAAATGGATGCTTTTCTTCTGATAAAATCACTACTGTATTGCTTCCCAGGGTCCTAAAAATGTTTCATTGCTTTGCAGACCTATGGATTCCCTCAACGTATTCAGCAACCGATGGACCCTTGGATTCGCTTTTGGAGTTATTGCTGATAAACTGATATTTCTGTTTGAAAAAGATTACTTTCCAGAGGGATTTCCTTCCTGGGCTAAAGGTAATCCACATTATTAAGAACTTGGTAAGTGTTTAGGGTAAAAACTGTTATAAGAGGAAGAAATATTAAGGAAGCATATGGTTTTCAAAGAACAAAAAGGATTAAACATATGGAGAAGTTGAAAAGGGAAATAAAGGATTTGGAGAGAAAATATATAAAAGAAATATATATGAAAATATATAAATATATAAAAGACAAAGAATCTTACCAGATTACAAGCAAAAAAAGTTACAAAACATTGAAGTGGAAAAAATACAGAGGATTTAAATTTATTTGAATTTAGTAATAAGAATTCAGGATTATTGGCCAGAGTCACACACTTGAAGAAAAGCTGACATTAATTGGGGTAGTTAACAATGAAAATGGTAAGAGCTGTAATTTAGCAAAATTAAAAATGGGCACATTTTATAGATTTTTTTTGTATACAGGTGAAAAACATTTGATGGGTAAAATTACAGTATATATAAAAATGTTGGGAAGAAATTGCAACAGACGGATAAGGATTTGATGGAACCACTTACTTATTAGAGAGGAAGAAACAGAACATACTATTAATACGTTTAAAATAGGGAAGACTCCTGAGATAGATGGATTAGAACAAGAGTATTATAAAACTTTTTTTAAAATGTGTATTCCAAATTGAAGTCTGTTCAATGTGATTTTGGAAGGAGGAAAGATACCATTATCTTGGAAATATTCTTCTATAGTATTAATTCCAAAACATAATAAAAACTTAATTAATCCTGGACCTTACAGACATCTTTCACTGGTAAATCAAAATGCACAATTTTGCACCTGTTTTTAAAGACTGTGTTAAACATATGGTACAAGTATAGAAAGAATTTATGTTTGTTTAACTCTCCATTAGGATTAGTGACTGAAATAGAGAATTTTCCTGCCAATATGAAAGTTTATGCAGAATTATTTAAAGAAAAAAAAGTGATTAGATTAAAAGACTGGTTGTATAAAATGAGACTGAAAGATCAAATGAAACAAATCCTTTAAAATAAGAATATATCATGGTTGAATTATATGCAGTTAGAAAGATGGACTAATGAATGGGTAAAGAAGTATAATAAAGGTAGAGAATATACGAAGTATGAATAATTTCTATTATCATATGGAGATATTCAGATGACTGATTCAGTAAAGGGTGCAGTGAGTAAAATTTCTAGATTCCTGCTTGATCTGGAAGTAGAAGAGATTGAGAAAGAAGGATTGAAGTTAGTGTGGAAACAAGACTTAGGAAAAAGAATAAATGATGAAGAACAAAGGAAGATGTGGAAAATGAGGTTTTTACGATTTTTGTCAGTAAGAATAACAGAAAAAATTTCAAATTGGGTTTAAGATGGTTCTTGACACCGACAGAATTGAATAAAATTAATGCTAGTTATCTGAATGTCTGTTGGAAATGTGAGAAGGAAATTGGTACATACTTTCATATGTGGTAGGAATGCGAAAAAGTCCAAAGATTTTGGAAACTAATCTTTAAAGAACTAAATGACATATGTGAAAAAGATATAGAATTTAATCCTGAGATAGCTCTGTTATCAATATTTGAGAATGTGGAATATGATAAAATGACTAGAGAATTGATTACCACTTTATTAACAGCAGCCAGATTAATAATAGCTAGGAATTGGAAATCAAAGTCTGAATTTCGAATGGAAGAATGGTACAATGAAATATGGAACATTACTATAAATGATAAATTAACTTGTAACTTAAAGATTAAGAAAGGAGAGCTGAAAAAGAATAATTTATGTGATACATGGGGCAGATTTCTTGAATGTGTGCTAACAAGAGGAAAAGGGAAAGCTTCAGATCAAGAATCAATGCAGTTCTGAAGAAGAGGACAATAAAGGAAGAATAATAATAAAGATAGAGGAAGAAGAGGATTACTGGAAGAGGTCCTGATTATGGTGGTGGGGAACACAGTCAATTTGTATTTTGGTTTATATATTTTATATTTATGTTGTAGTTTAAGGGAAAAAAGTATTAATGGATGGAGAAGGAACCCCCCCCCCCAAAAGTGCATTCCAAAATTGAGGTCTGTTCAATATGATTTTGGAAGTTTCCTTTTTCTTTTAGTTTGTATTTTTTTGTATTGTACTATAGGGTTTTTTATTTGTATTTTTTTCTTTGCTTTAAATAAAAATTACTTTAAAAAGCAATAGTGGAAGGGTGAGAGAACAAACAGCTTGCATCTTCTCTGATATTTCAGTTCATCTATAGTACTCTGTTTACTATTAGTTTAGCTATTAGATATGCTTAAGGCTGCTTCTGAGAGTACACTTTCTTATCCAGTACAAATCGCGAAATCCCAGCCCCACATTCAACTATGAAGCCAGTCAATGAGTAGCCATCCAATATTTCCATTACTACAGATAAGGTAGTCTTCCCCATCTAGTCCTCTCCCTCCTCCGTGATCTGATCCCTATGGTGTAGAAGTACACTTGGGTTCTTGTAGCAGCAGCAAGGAGCTGATCTTGCAAAGAGCTCTTGTGCTTTTGCCTTTGTGCCAAGGCAGAAGGCTCAAATGTCAAGCAGAGAGAAATCTATTTCTAGAAGGAGTGCTCCCTCACATGGTGAAAAAGGTGTAGTTGTGAAAGCATCTCAGAAGAAGGAGCATCAGTGTCATCTAGATTATCTCTGGATTGGAAGCAATAACTTCTTTCACATACATAATTTACAGTAGAAACACCAGGAACCAAGCTGTGCTGATTTTAGTGTTGTCATACTTTGACCACCACATGGAAAAGTGGAGCATTTTGCAACCTTCATGCCCTTCTGGTTAGTTATGCGAAGGAAGGGGAGTTCCTATCAGGACAAGGAAGGTCAATAATTCAGTTGGATCGGAACCAGGCATTTGGACTGACTGGGAGCTCTGAGCCGAAACAATTGTAGAAGTAGCTGGTGTATTATGGGAAAGTGGAAGGTCAAACACAATGGTATAATTCTTCCCTGTAGCTGCTGTAAAAGTAAAGCTGAAAGGTTTTAAAAATTTGATTAGTTTCCAAGGCCCAATTTTTTTTTTGAAGTGATAGCAGCAGCTGTTCTGTGGAAAATGCGAGGCCTCAATATGGAGTAACTATTGTTTGTTTACAGTGACGGAAGAATGGAATCAAAATACGCTCACTTGCACTCTCTTTCTCTCTCTCTCTTGCAGTTTTCTGGGTGATGCTCTTAGCCATAGAAGTGGGTGTCTCTTCATACCCTTTCTTTGTCTGTCTTTCAACAAGATACACCATGACGGGAGCGGTGCTTGGGTTCCTTTACACAGCAGCTTGGTGCGCAAAGTATTCGCTAGAGCCGGTGGTCGGAGGGCCACTCCTAAGAATGACTAAAGTTATGGGAGACGGGCTATGACAGGAGAACCTGAAAGGCATCATCACTGCTGGAAGAGGGAAAGTTATGTTTGAAACAAGACAGGAGGGGCAAATGCCAACTAGCCAAGATGGGCAATCTCAGCCTGCACAACAGTTGTGCCACCAGGTCTGAGATCAGCCAGCCCAAGGTGGTTTTGTAGGCATGTGAGACTTTTGGCCATTCAAACCCACTCTAGCCAGCATAGTTTTGAGTCTGGATTGCGCTGAGAATCCGCTGCTTAGTCTAGTTACATCTATAACTTCTCAAGGAGGTTGTTACTTATTGTGGAGTTCCTTCTGGATCAAAACAACCAGGAATGGGACTGTTGTGATCCCCCCAAATACAGTGGTGCCTCGCATTGCGACGTTAATTCGTTCGAGCCAAATCACTGTTGAACGAAAACGTAGCAATGCGAAATTTAAAAAGCCCATAGAAATGCATTAAAACACGATTAATGCGTCCCTGTGGCCTTAAACCTCACCGTTCAGCGAAGATCCTCCATAGCACGGCCATTTCTGGTGCCTCTAAAGCGAGGAATCCGTCCCACAAAACAGCGGGCAGCCATGTTTTTTCCCCGGTGGCCATTTTGAAACCGCCGATCAGCTGGCTGAAAATGGTCGCTTTGCGATGATCGGTCATCGTAAAGCGAAAATACCCCGTAGGGAACATTGCAAAGCGATCGCAAAATCTTTGTCGCAAAACGATTTCATCGCTAAAAAGAGCGCTCGCTAAGCGAGGCACCACTGTATGTGGGTCAGTGAGTACAGGGGGCCTAGGACAATATAATTTACCCTTGGTTTTTTCTGTGCTCTTGGGCATGGGAAGGAACTGGCATATATCATCCTTATTTGGAGTTGCAGCATTAAGTTTAGTTTTTAATCTGCCTGCCTGCCAGCCAGCCTATCTATTATCAAAGACTTAAAATCAGTATTTTTCTGACTTAGATAGTTTTCCATACTACTGTTGATTAATATTAAGGAATGGGCAGATGGGTGATCAAGTCAAGAATGTGGTACTGTACAGTGTTACAGCAGCTATCAATTACAGCTGCTGCCCAGGATGAAACAGTTGTGTCTTTGTTTACAGGCAAAATTCAGAAGCATTTTGTACCCCCTAAAAACGTAGGCCTAAATCAAGTTGATAGTCCCTGTTAGGGTAGACCTATGGAATCAGTTGCTGAAATAACTGGAATAACTATGGAATCAGTCACTGTAATAACTTAATTTGTTTTGCTTTGTTTATATCCCACCTTTTCCCCAGTGAAGGGACTCATTTATCTGAACATATAAAGATGTTCAGGCAAAAGAAAGAAAAGAGAACCCCACTGTTTTAGTTGGTCTGCTCTAACTGGGAACAGAATCTCAGTTTAAGCCTAACAGATTTTTAATGACATGAGGTTTGAGTAAGATGAATCTATTTTCCTAGAGCTGCATAAAGCTGTATAAAGAGTAATCCTCAGCTTTCACATTTATCAACACATGGTCAGGGAATGATGAAGAGGGAGGAGTGATGTTCAAGAAGGAAATTAAAACCCACAATCAACATACAGGTATTGTTACAATTACAGAAAAGCAGATTAGTCACAGTGAACATTAACTTAGCAGCAATGGTAATAATAAAAACATTTTAGCATTGGTATGCAACTTGCCACATGTAAGAGGATTAAAATAAGCAAAACTCCAAAGACCCTTCTGGCAGGATGAGCCCAATCCAAAAGGTGCGCTAACTTTGCAGCCTCTCCAGCTTGCTCTCTATCTTGTTGTGTATAATTTAGGTCTCTATACAATTTGACGAGGCCACAGTGAGGGGAATCCCAGCAAGCAGGTTGAAAGTAGCGTTGTGGCAATGTCTCTGTGAAAAGGAGGCAGGTTGGAAAGTTGCTTCTTAGTCCTTAAATTTTGAAACTTTCTTTTTATTGGAGAAGATTGGCTTTCAGGTAGAATGCCATAGGGACAGTTTGAATACTTTGGTCTTGATCTAGTTTAATTAAGGCAAACACCACCATCTTAGGGGACCTACTAACTCCTGTGTTCTTTGCAGGCTAGCAGTCACGATTGTAGACAGTCTGCACTGCCCTGAGGAAGACGTAAGTATATACGTATTGTTATTACACTTGTTTAATGAACATTGCGGGCTTCAGGGCCTAGCGCAGAGGTGACATCTTAGTTAGGGTTGCCAGATGTCAAGCAAAAGGAGGACATGTCCTCCTTTTTAGCCTAATGTCCTCCGTCAGGCAGGCAAAGATAAAAATCTTTAAAATGTCAGGCTTTTGTATATTTTATGTTAGAATTTTGGATGGGAGGGGGAGAGGTAGAAGGACCCCCCTCTCCTCCTGTCTTTTCCTCACCCACTCCTTCAGTGGCAGCTGCCCAGCAATCTGCCCTGC